AAAGGCTGATGCATACCCAAGCTCCCGAGGCAAGGTATAAAATTCAAAGAACCCTGTTTTCTCAAAGGAGAACATGTGTTTCTCTGTATAAATAACACTTCAAGGTAAGGGATGAGAAACCATATCATAATTAATCATTGTTTATGTCTGGATATATCACCATAAGAGCCCTCTTTTTATTATTATTGTGTTAAGTATGTCTACATGCTCACATACATTTTTATTTTTAAAGGAAAAATCCGTGGTTTGTACTGGGATATTCACTTGTATAGATTTTAAAAAGAAACCAACCAAAGTAAGCATGAATAAATTCCATTAGTTGACTCAAATCAGAACAAAAGCTGGAGAAAGCTTGAAGTCTGACTAAAGGCAGAATGCATCATGAGATCATAGCTATAGTTGTTGCCAATAATACCCAATATTCAGTGATGCATCCTTCACACAGGTGCTTCAGGAGAGGAATTAGGAGGAAAATAAACACCTGGCAAAAACAAAGTCCTGGTGTAATTCATATGTTCCATTAACACAACAGTTACATAGTTTAACATCATGAGAGAAAGCATTGCTTTATATTTGTAAAGATGCTTTTTTGAGGCACTGAGTAGAGGTTTTTAGTTTTAAAATTAGCTTTCTTACCCTTCAAAAATAAGCAAGACAAAAACCACCTGAGAACAATTTCTTGTCCTTTGCCTGTAAATTTCATCAAAAAGATGGAAATGTAAAATTGCAAAAATCTAAATCAAAACTGGGGTTTGGGAAGCCATTCCAGTGATATGCTGGATATTAAACAAGGCTGTTTTTTCACAGAGCACCAGCAGGGCTGGGAGCACTACACACACACCCAATTTGAGACAGCTCCATCCTTCCCAGTTTCCAAGTTCAAGGCTTCATCCCCACCATCATTACCCAGCTAAGACTCCCTTTTTTCACACAGTCCCAATATCCCCTCTAATCTTAATCTTATTCCCTTCTGCCCTTGATGACTAAAAATTTCCCTAAGACCATATATCAACCTTCATCTTGCTCCATTCACTCTCCTTTTTTGGGCTTGGCCTCCCAGCCAGTCTTGTGTTGTCTCACCCATCTCCATGCTCCACACTGACTTATCCATTCCCAGTTGTGTTTGTCTATTCTCCCCCCAGGCCAGTTCAGCTTCTAAATCTGGAATCTGGAATCTGGTTAAATCCTTCCCAGTGCCAGGATTTAACAAGGAGATCACCGACAGAGTGCAGGGCAATTAAAGAAAACAAAAGCAAACATCACAACACAACACAACAGGGCAGATGGGACAAGGAGAGGTGGGTCAGCAGAGCTTTTCAGCAGGAGCAAAAACAACACATGTTTTCCCTCACCCAGACTCTGAAATAGCTGAATCATTTTAGTTTTTTCTGAAAAATGTTGCCTGAGACACCAGGCATGGAACATTTAATCTCAAATGATTCAAATCCGGCAAAAATATGAGCAATTGAAAATAGATGTGTAGCCAACACACTGAAAGGAACAATTCTACCTGCAGAAGACTGCTGCTCCTCCTGCCATCTATGTAATGCAAACACATTGATTTTCCATGCTGGTTTGGGACAGCAAAGGGCAATAATAAGGTACATCTGAGGTACAAATTACTCTCAGGTGCAATCCTGCCACTAAAAAATGTCACTAAATGCCACCTCAGTATAGTTCTGCATATTTTAACACATTTGCCTTAAAAACATTAATTATTAGTGCTATTCACTAAAATAGTGCTCTATAGCCCATATAAAAACATATGAATTATCATATAGAGCTGCTGCTCACTAAAAGAAAAAGGAAAAACATGGTAAATGAGGTGTAGGTTCATTTTAACTCAAAAACCAGAATTACAACAGCTCGTAAACACTGCAAAACTGAGATTGCTTAGTTACTGGATTAATGTTTGCCAGATAGAAAACAAATTTTTTTACATTAGGAGCACATGAAATGTGTGGAAAACTAAGTAGCTATGGACAGTGATAGGATATCGTGGTTTTTCTGAAAGGATATTTGGGGAAGTTTTACTAATAAAATAACATGTAAGGTACTTAGATTACCCAGCCAAGATGGGATGGATAAGTGATTAACGAACAGAACTGGCAGTACAGTATAACCATATTGCACAGGTTTCATCTTACCTCTATTTAGGTAATCACCAAAACGCACAGTACACAAAAAATTCTCACACTTGCACTGAGGATAGTGGTGCAGGAATTGCTCTGATTTACTTGGAACAGGAACAGGGAGGATGGAGGGAGGATGTTCACCCCACATCCATACAAATTTTATTAGCAGAGGGAAGACCATACAATAAAACAAACATACAGAAAAATTTCTGCAGAACCATTCTGCAAACTTTCAGCTGTGGGTAACATTAACTGATTACTGACTTAATGGACTCCAATATTCAGTCAGGATGAAACACATTCCTGCAGAGGCAGCTAACAAATCTTAGGTGCTTAAGTGGGAAATACAGACAAGTTTTTTTATGTCCTCAACACCTGGCAATGCCATTCCAAAATGAACTCTGCCTTGAAAAGGCAAAATTTCAGCAAGATCCCAGGCAGAGATGAGTGCACAATGTGGGATCCCGGAACTAAGTGGCACAGAGTTCAGCCCACATTAGTCTTCCTTCCTTATTGTTTTAATAAGAAATGAACACGTGTGCACATCTATTTTTTTGGTGGTAAAACCACATCTCATTCATCGGACACTAATGCCTGATACAAACTCTGCTGCTCATTTTCATCAAAACAAACAAAGCCTTGGCAGGCCTTGCAAGCAACACATAAACTTCTCCGTGTCTGGATCCTTTTGTCTTACAGAACAGCACAGTTTTCATATCATCATTTTTCTAAGCAGCAACTCAGAAAGAATCATCCTTTCAGATTGCTGAGAAAAGAACATAATGGGGGTTACTCAAAGGAATAGATGCTGCAGCTACAACTGCTCTCATTATGTACATATGAGATGCCTTGGTGTTTCTTGCTACTGATTACATGAGCAAACATTTTTAGTATGCAAAATCCTATTAACTCAAGGGGATTCTGCATAATTTTATAACAGCTCCACTCGTGCTGTTTGATCGACTGGATCAGCAACAGACAGATGGCAAAGAATTAATTCTGACGCTGCTTTATCGCAGTGCTGGAGTCAGGGTTTCCTCTACTCACTCCACTCAGGAAAACTAGAACTGAAATGATATCCACTACACCTGAAGGAAGACTCCACAGAGTGAAAAGATGGAAGTAATTTCCTTTTTACAAATATGTGGATCCAGAAAGGGTAAAACAAAGCCAACCTAAATGTCAGTGCTTCTGTCTGATTAGGGGGAGAGCAACCAGCCAAAAGCACAAGAAACAGAAGTGTAACAAATATTAAATAATAACAAACTATTTTATTCCATATGGACAGGACATAGTTCACTTATTATTTCTTCTGTCTCCCATGCTCACTTCATTATATTTAGTTCTTGGTAGCCATCCCTCACTTCTTGATGCCCTACAACCATCAGCAACAGCTTTTCCAAATATTTTCTTTTCTGCCTTTTTCTTCTGTATTTTTCTGTTCTAAGGGGAAATACAGGAATTTTGCAGTAGTTAGTACAAAGAAGACAAATGGAAACTCTTTTATGTGCCATTTACCCTCTCCCAAAAAATCCTAAAAGAAAAAGAAAATTGAATCTCAAAGATATAAGGTAATAAAATAATATAATCCAAGAGATAACTCTGGAACCCATCTCTCCAATAATTAGGGTTTTCTCTTATTCCATTTTTTGATCATTCCATAATTCTGAGGTGCAGTGATAAGCATTATCCAGTACTTACTGAATTTGTGCTTGACATATATTTAGATGGCAAACTATTAGCAGTCCAAAAAATAGCGCCTAAAATTAAATTATTAATGCACTGTTTCCCCAATTTGGGGAAGATGGTCCCAAAAGTAAAACATGATCTGGCTGGGATTTGCAAGAGGAACTCTTAAGCTCTTGAGATGTAAAACTTAGGTCTGGAAAACCTTCAAAATAGGGAGATAATTAAACTGATACAGAAATATTTGGGTTTTTTTAAAAGGATGTAACTCAGAGGTGTTATCTATACATAAGCTTGTAGGAGTCAACTCAGAGACCCACATGAATATAGTTATTCCAACTATTTCATCCATCCAGAATCACTGGTTTTTGTAACCAGAAAAAAATTTTTTCTGTTCTTTTTTTTTTTTGAAACATTCCAGCTTCCATCCCTATTTCTTACATGTCAATCTGCATTATGAGTGTTTCCCTGAAATCCAGGCTAATTAATCCTGCTTCAGAAGGAAGGGCTTAGGGGTGTTAGCCATGCCTGACAACCCTTTGGACAAACAATTCTCTTCCATTTGGATTTTTAATTAAGCTTTCTGAAAGTACTTTAATATAAGAAAATAGTGGAGAAAAAAGGTCTAGTAATTGACTAATCTAAAAGACTTCATTTTATTTTAGAGAGAATAGATGACAACTTCAGCCTCTGACAGTGCGTTAAATTAATCCCATCTGTGAAACTTAGCCCAGCTAAGGCCCAACTTTGGCCTCACGTCCAAGGAAGTAAGAGCTTTTTTCTGGTTAAATCAATAGATGCCAAGCTGCCCGGTCAGTCCTTGGATTCCTCTTATATGGCATCTTGAATCTGTCTTACATGGGACTGGACACAAACACAAAGCAAGGCACATCCAACCACAGAACACCAAAGATTTCATGCTTTGCCACCAACAGCTCTCACAATCCTCAAACTCATTAACAGTGTCACCGGACCTGCTAAGAGTGTATTTTTCTCTCATTCCTAACTATTCCAGGACACACTTATTGCACTACAAAAAGCCAAAGTTTTCAAAAGGAGAGTTATCTCACTCTGCAACTGTTTTCAGCCTTGAGCACTGTAAATTCTCCACAAAACCAAGTCTGCAGGATATTTTCTTCCAAATATTTCAAGGGGGAAAGGAATATTTGGGTTTTTTACCTGAAATGGAGACTGGCTGTTGTAATTCTTAATCTCCTTGTTGGCTCCCCGGAACAGCAGGACTCTTGCACAGCTCTCCTGAAAAAGAGAAAAGTAAACTTGTTAATAAGGGTCTTCAGGCAAATAAGGGTCTTTAAGTAAAAAACTATGACTACTAAGAGGCTATGAGATGTGTTGCTGTGTGGTATATAGACATATAAAGTATATATATAGTCATAAAACACTATTTAAATAAAATACAAATAAATGATATAAAAATAAATAATCTGAGAACTTCAGCTGTTAAAATAGTATTTTAAATATAACAGGACTTCAGGTGCTTAGCAGTGTATCAGGCTAGAAACAATATGTAAGTGTAAAAAATTTGTGGAGAAATGCAAGACGTAAACATCTTATTAAATTTTTAAGAAACTGTACTGAGAAAATTCCATATTTGACAAATCAGACTTTGCAGAAAAATATGTTATTTCAAAATGAAATTTGACTCCTAGATGGTTTTTGCCTATTTTGTAGGAAAAACAGTGCAGCAAGCAGTTCCTAAGATGAGTTATACCCTTCCCTGCTGCTAGAAATTAAAAAAAGCATTTTTACCACTTATTTTCTTGGGTTTTTTTCCAACCTATCTTCAGTTTTAAAATTGTATGCGTGATTATTTTTTTAATACACCTGAAATTATTTGATCTATCTCTGCACACTGCACTGACCTGTCTTACTGTCCCTCTTTTCCCCTAAAAAATACTAAGAGTTACAGTGCAAACCAAACACAGCCCTTCTGAAAAGAGAAAAGTTGCACTTCAGACCCTCCAAACTGAGAAAATCTGCAAAGGAAATGCCTTAAAAACGATTTATTTTTATAGTGTATTGCTTAAGTCACTAATTTCCACTTGCCATTAAATATGACTGACCATAATCTGGTAGAAATCCCCTGTGGTTCTGAGTGGGTTCTCAGAATTCTGGGTGATTCTTGTACAGATTTTATTTCCTACCTGCCATCTTTAATGTTCCTCTTGGGACCCCCTGCAAACCAATTCCCATTTCAAAATGGTTTTATACTTCCTCACCATAAATATTGCTATTAATTTTGTTGTGCTTTCTGGATTTCTTGACATGTGTTACGGGGTTCTACCTAAGGAGGTATTTTTATGTGCCACCTTTCACTTTGAGCAGCAAATTTGCAGTCAGAGAAAACAATCCCATAATTCAGCTGTTTCAGAGGCAGAAATGAAGTTTATTTACCAGATTCTGAGTCACAGGTTAATGTGCAGCAATTATGATTGAAAATAATTTTTGTCATTGTGTTTTCTGATTTACCACACTGGATTCTTTATCCCATTAAGTTTCCTTCATCACAGGGTTGCCTTAAGTTATCTGGAAAGAAAGTTTCCGACTGAAATAACAGAATGGATCCTGTTTCAAGATGGTATGTTAACAATAATTTTTGAATTATATATAACGAACTGAAATAGTCTCCTTTGCTTGCACTGAAATCTGCACCTTAGGTGTATTCTCTGTATCTCTAAATACAGGATGATCAATGCCCAACTTTGAACAAGGACTTGAGGATATAAATAATTATATTCAGAAATATATTATGTTTATTGGGTGATTATTCATTTGATTATCAGAATAAATAGTTCAACATTACAAAACCAAAATAATTACACATTTAAAAACTCTCTATAGATTTAACTGATCTGTCTTCAACAAAACAAAAACATGCAAAGAGATTTATTAATTAAATGGTTTTGATTAGAAAAGTTTTGCCAGAAGCCACGGAGTTGTTCAAGATTAAAAAAAAAATTCAAGAAAATTTATTTTTATTAAGTTTCATTTGCTTATTTATTCTTTCTTTATTCTTTTGAAACAAACAGAAGCATTTTTAGCTTCATCCTCTCTCCTTTTTGTGTTGTACCCATCTGCTGAGTATCAAGGGGAATAAATCAGGGAGAATAAGCAAAAAAGGCACCATCAGAAATTATTTTGATTACTTTTCTGTACTAATTCAATGGAAATTCCACATTTTAAAACTCTCTGCTGTAAGGGTGCTGCCTATAAATGCCAGAACTCCTTTTGCACGTGTTTTAGCTCTGACAACCTAATAACTTCTGATATTGAGAGCTTAGTATTGTTCATTTATTATATCATAAACTGAATATGTAGTAGCTTTTTAGACTTCATAAGATTAAAAAGAATTTCAGAGAACTGTTTGCTTGGCAGTAAATTAGATTCAATTTGTTGTCTGACAGTTAATTACCTGATTTAATATTACAAGAGTTGTCATTTAGAATCCAACCCTTTGAGTGAAGAGGGTACATTTCATCTCAGAATTTTTGTTTGCAAAACATAGAGACATAAGATGCATTGAGATACTGCGAGGCCATGAAATAAATTTCAAAACCACGGGTTTACTGGGATCAGGACTTAGCTGACACTCAGGAAAACAGACTGACCAACTTCAGGAATTATCCCAAGAAAATTTCCCAGGGAAGACTGGAAGGGAAAATCAAATGGGTAACAACTCCATCTACAGGAATCTGGAGGTAACAAGGATATTGATGTCCTTCCCATCCTCTCCAGCCAGAAAAGGCCAGCACCGTTCCTTCCACAGGAACAAATAACAACTTCCAATTAAAAAAAAAACACTGAAAAAAATCAGGTTATGCTTCCCAGAGCCTTATGAAAACATTTTTTTATTCCCACATACACTCGACTAAGGAAAATAGATGGATGACTGCATAGATAAGATGTTAAAATTCCATTCACAAAGCCAAGCTTAATCACTGTGAAAATATTTCCAAATTTTTAGATGCAGTTTCAATTGGAGTCTCAAAATCTTCCACAGAACAATTTCTTCCAGGAGGTCAGGTAAAGACATCCCTATGTGGAAAATACTATCACGCCATGGGATTACTGTAATTCATTATTAGAATTATATTAATTAATTATTAATTATTCTAAGGAAGATCTCATACTGCTTAATCTTTGCTAGAAGTGTATGGTCTTGTAAACAACTATGGCCACTGCAATAAAACAGTTACCAAAAAAAATCAGGATTTTAAGTTTATATGTGTGTTACGGTCTGGTCTTTGAAATTCTTCCTCAGGAAGAGTAAAATAAATGAGGTTAGAATTAATATTTTAAAATAATTTTCAGTATAAATGCTTCAATTATATATGTTAAGATCTCGATGTGAAGCCTAAATGTAAAATTTTTGTTTTGTCAGTAGTCTTGAAAAATGCCAAATTATCCCCAAAATTCTTTTTTTTTTTTAAGAGGTTGAGGGTATTTTAGACTTCATTGAGGAATCTGTCTTGACAAGACTTTAGGAAAAAACTAGGATGATATTTAATTAAGAAGCAGACGCTTTAACAGATGTTTCACTATTTACAGTCACATCTCGTGCTTTCCTAATTCCATGTAATATTATATGTGCTGAATTTTAACATAGTTGTAAAACTCATTCCCTCCCCATCTCATCCCTGAGAATATCAAATGCTATAAAATTATAACATTCCATTATTTGTAAATTACTACACAAGTTGTAAACAGCAGAGAATCTTCTATGTAAACCACAGAGACATTTCCACAGTATTTTCTAATTATTTCTTATTTAATTCTGATTTAGATTCCAGCAGACCATCAATAAATTCTGTATAGGAAACAAGTATTTAGATACGATGCCAAAAAAAAAAAAAAAGCTGGTAGAACATACTGTTTTATTTTCTATTTAATATGTATTTCTTGATACCTACAGTGAGCAGCCCTATTTGTAATCAGTGAATAAAACACAAATAAAACAGTTTTTAATTACATTCTTTCTAGTTTCTAAGACCACTTTTTAAAACCTGAAACACTTTATTGCATATTAAGTAAATCAAACTAAAAATAATGGGTTGCTCTTAACTGTAACTTGCCTCTGTAGATCAATAACAATGGGATATTTATCCCAAATGCATTTATTAAAAGTGAGGAAATTGCATCTCAGGAAAACCTAACATCAAACTAGTAAACTTTTTCAATAGGAAACTCTCCAAGCCTCTGTTTTTGTGGATGGACATGGAAATTTTAGCATTTGTACCTCAATTAGGCCTTTTTTTTCTGGCTGTGTGCTGTTCTCTCACAACACTGGTTTCCAGTGGGACTGGACTTACCTTCCCTCAAAGCAAGACATCCCTCCCTACTCAGCCAGGCAGAGGGGATCCCAAGCACAGTAGTCTTGCCCCATCTTTCCCTTAAGTTGCTTTCCTGAAGGGAACTTACAGGAAAGATGGAGTGAGACTATTTACAAGAGCCTGAGTGCCAGGACAAGGTGGAATGGGTTCAAACTGAGAGTAAGTTTAGAGCAGATATTAGGAAAAAATTCTTCCCTGTGAGGAACTGGAACGAGTTGCCCAGAGAAGCTGTGGCTGCCCCATCCCTGAAAGTGTTCAAGGCCAGGTTGGACAGGGATTGGAGCAACCTGGTTCGGTGGAAAGTGTTCCTGCCTGCGGCAGGGGGTTGGAACAAGATGATCTTCAAGGTCCGTTCCAGTGCAAACCACTTCATGATTCTATGGTTCCATAATCTCTCAACTCCCCCAAGGAACCTTTCTGTCACTGAAGGAGGATAGTGGGACTCTGTGGCACAGGGTCTCACCTGGTTATAGAGGGCACAGATGTGCAGGGCCGTGTTTCCTGAGGCGTTCTGGGCACACATGTCGGCGCCATAGAAGAGGAGGTGCTCCAGGTGTTGGACATGTCCATACCTGCAAGCCTGGTCAGAGATGCATTAATATTTTGGTTATTATACAACCTAGATCTGCTTATTTGGGGGATGGTGATTTAAGGGATCAAGGAAATACTACATTTGAAACTTTTTATCCACTAATATTTATGACTCAAACGTGACAAGTAACGGACAGAAGAGTATTTGGTCCTGCTACTCCTCGGAATGTTGCCCAGTAGATGGCACTGAAGATGGTCAGATTTCCAAAGCTTCTTCCTTCTATTTAGGGAAATCTGGCCAAAATTGAATAATCTTCTTGGTTATGTGATGTATCTGACTATCTGCCTGTCAACTAGGCACATAATATACACATGGCACTGACCCAAGAGAGGGAAAAACCTTCAGGAGTCACTTTTTCTGTCACACAAATAAAAAGTTAGACCCTGAATACTTGGAAGTAAGTCTCTAAGATATCACTGAAATTGGAAATTTTCCTGATTAGCAAATAAATTCGAGAAAAATCTCAGTATTTCTATTCATCGGTCTCATTTAATTGACCACTTTCTTCTCTCTGGCACACTGACAGAGCACCTCCCAAGTCCTAATATTTTTAACTTCACACCATCTCAGATCATCATAATTCCTATATAACACAGGATTTTGGCTAAGACAAAGAGGTATAGAAAGCTATTGAGTCTGTCTCAGGTACCTAATTACTGCTGAATTCAGGGGGAGGTACAAACTGACACACTTGGACTGAATCTACAATTTGGATGAGAAAAATTAAGTGTACTGTCAGTGCACAAATTAAATCAATCTGTGACAGATCATTCATCAGGGCTACCAGTCCAGAGAGAGACAGGTATTTCCAGAGGATATCCTTATTATTACTATCCTGGCCCAACATGAACTGCCATCTTTCCCCTTTACTATAAGGGTAACCCAGAGACTTACCTCCAAAAGCTAAAGATTGCATTAGCAAAATGACAACTATACTTGCTAGCAATTATTTCCTTGCCATGCAAGGTAACTTCAGCTTCTGCACACAGACAACAACATATGGGACTGTATCATATTACCATCCATCTTAATTCATTGAGAAATGCTTGGATTATTGATTACTGAAAACAGATTGCCCCTAATGCAGGTGTAAACTTTGATTTATTTAGGATTACAACTAATACAGTGGGTTTGGAAAGCTCTGTTTTATTACAAGAAATAATGGCCTTACGTGTACAAGGCTGGGTTTTAAAAACAGGGAATTCTTGTCTTTATCTTCAGAATTTTTATGATTACTCAAACTCATTCATACAGAGAAAAGGCATAAAGTAGCTGCAATGACATTGGGATTATTACAATTTTTAAACTTTGTAAGCTTTTAGGTTATCGTTATGCACAGAGGAATTAATAAAGCGTCCTTACACAACTGCTGTATAATATTCAGATGTTTCTGGAGAAGACAATAAGAGTTCAAAGATATAAGTTTTTACGAATCTCAGAACACTACTTTTAAAAAAAATATTTCATTATAGAGCACACTATCACTTTAGCCACACACTGAGTATGTAAGAGAGGAAAGGAAAACCCAAACAGCAAAGGGAAAAGTATCAGGAACCCAGTTTTCACACACAGAAGGAGGAAAACTGACTCAAACTGTGAGTTTGTAAGAGTTTAACAACCATCAGTGCAACAACTGAAGGATCCCAGCAGCAAGATCCTGAACACAAATCTTCCTGTAAAGTTCACCAGAGACAAAGGAGAAAGTACTCTGACACACACACAAGAAGCATTGCCAAGGATACCAACATTGGCATCTAACTAAAAGTTACACTCTTTTACTGAAGTGCCACTAAACCAGATGTTAAACTTCAAGAGTCCGTGACATAAATACGACCAGTGCAATTTCTGCAGCAAAATCCACAGTAACCATAGGATTTCAAAGTTACAGAACTGCACTGGAACAGTTTCCACTTCTAATTCACCACAGCAGGATGCATAGTGAATAAACAAAACAAAACAAAATAAACAAAAAACCCCCAACAAACAAACAAACAAACAAAACCAGAAAAAGCAAATAAGAAAAGGAAAGAAATTCCATACTTAAATGCCTGGACTAAAAGGTATCCAAAAGGCCTTCAAAATGGTGCTGAAACATAGAATAAACATGGCACATTTCCTCATGCAAGTTCAGCTCCAAGCAAAGAATAATCTTTCCCACCTGATGGATTTCTTGCCATCCATTTTCATCTTTGCAGCTCACTGTGGCATGTTCATGGAGTAAGAGCTCACAGCAGTAGGGATCCCCTCCCACGACAGCCGTGTGGTACAGCGGGGTCAGGCCACAGCTGTCCTTGTAGTTGGGAGATGCTCCCAGCTCTAAAAGGGTCTGAAAGCAATCAGATTGTGAAAAATATATTTTGGAGGCACTTCTACCTATAAAGGGTCTTTACCTGAAAAAGTATTTATAAGGTTGATACTTAATATATACTCTTTGTTCACCTATTTGTCAGCTGTTAAATTGTGCCCCAGCCCCATTTTAAGCAAGAAATTTTCTAATGAAGAAATGACCTTGGAAGCATTAGAATCTAAGGAATCTATGGGGATAGCACAGAAAGAATGAGTGGCAATGAGTCCAATTTCCATTCTCTCTCTAAGTTCAGAAATTTCAATTCTTCAAATACTACATCACCTTTGCAGCACATTCACCTCTTCAGCTACAAGGTGCTTTATCAAAAATGTCATGCTATTTGAATATCTGTCAAAAGGAAATGAGCAAAAGCCATAAACCTAAGGTTTAATCTAGACTATCAGAGGGATTTAAGAATACTTGTTAAAATACAAAAGAAAACAGAAGAGGTTGTGTTAAAATATAATGTGTAATCCAGGCCACTGGCATCTGATTTCAAAGAGGTGACGATAACTCTATTCCTATTTCCTCTGACAGATCTTTCCCAATGTATCAATGAATAAGCTTAAATTTCACCCTTTTTTCTTCCTACTAAAAAAAAAAGTTAAAAGGCCTTTTATTGAAAGCAAATCCTAAGATTTGAAAGCCACAAGAAAGCACAAGAACATATTAAAGGATCCACTAAGGACAATATGGTAATTAACTGAAAATATTCTCCTTTATGTATATTTTTTAATAATATAATATATACTTTGGTATTGAAAGCATTTACCTTGAGGGCTACTTGGTTCTTGGCCCTGGCTGCTTTGTGCAGAGCTGTCATTCCATCTTTGGCTCTGAAGTCTAAATGTGCTCCTCCATTTTTCAGAGCTTTTATCACTTCCACTGTATTGTCAAGCTGAGCTGCCAAAGTTAGGGGTGTTTCTAAAGAAAAAAAAGAATAGCATGTACTTGGAAAAAGGTGAGCAAAATTATACAATAAAGAACATTTGCTTTAAAAAATGTCAAAGTTAAAAATGCTGTTCAAAGAAAATCATAAATTATCAGTTATCTGTGGACAGCAAAACCACACAGATGCCATTAGCCCAGAGTCCTGAAGGCAAGAGAAAGGATGTGTGAAATTCAACCTGTTAATCACTTTAGTTTTAACAAGCTCAAGGTTTGTCTTATTGTTCTGACCTCCACTTTCCAGATCATGATAGTTGGGGTCCAGTCCTCGGTCCAACATCTTGGTCATTTTTTCCACAGAGAGATGGTGGACATGATCCATGAATTTTCTCAAATTAGCCTGAAACAAAGAGTGACAAATTAATCATCCTCTGATTTTAAATATAAAAATTTTGACTAAAAGTGAAATATTCTGTCAGTTGATGTCAACACCCATTGACACCACTGAAAGTAGTTAACACACATTCCTGGAGAATGACTTTATACTAAGAACATAAAACTTATTGTTTCTAAAGCTCAAAAGTCAATGTAAGAGAGTCTTGTTTTTACAGTTTTAAGGAAAAAATGAGTGATTCATTCAGTAAGAAATTATGCTGGTGTTTGGTAATCATTATTATTATTCTGATCTGCAAAGTAGTCTAAAGACCCAGATCTGCATTTTTGCAGCATGTGGAAAGCACATTGGATTTACAAAGGAAGGTTCATTTAAAATTACATTTATATCACAGAATCACAAAATCGACTAAATTGGAAAAAACCTCTGAGTATATATATTTATATTTATCTTTATATATATATATATATATATGGAAGAATCAAGTATGGGAACTTTTCTATGGGAAAAGGTTTCCAGATTACAATTCACACATCGGCAGCACACGCTGTTTGTTTTTCAGCATTTGGTAATGAACTACTTATTTCCAGTTTCTCACATTAGTTTACTGAGCAGAAAATTGGGAAATTCTCCAAGAAGTTGGGAATACCTTGGTATGGAGCTTGGCCAGTTGCTTTTCATCCAAGTTGAACTGCTTGTACACTCTTTTCTTGTATCGAAACTGAGGGAGGAAAAGAAGAATAAATTTTAAAACTTAGAACTCATAATTTTCTGACCTTACCAGAAAGTATCATCCACAATCATGTGATTTAGGCTAAACAAAAAAAAAAAAAAGGGTTGGTATTTCATTTTGAATATTCACCAATAATCAGCAGTCTGCTTAACATACCAATATCATAATTTTACCGTTCATTTAAGCGCAATTCATATCTCATATGACTATACTAAAATCAAAGGAGGAAATCAGCCTCTAGAATCTACATAAATAAGCAAGAATTACACTGAAAAGAGCTTTTCCCTGAGGATTTTCAGGCACTTTCATTTATAGTCTCAGGCAGAAAGAACTGGGAAAGCATGTTAAATAAAAAAATTCACATTTCAAAATATCAGTTTAGCATTTCTGAAATTAAAAAAAAAAAAAAAAAAAAAGAAGGATTCCTGAAAAATCAATGTAGGAGGAACTTTACAAATATGGGAGTAGTTGTCCTGATGCGGAACAGGACTTGTTTTGTGAATGAGGTTCAGAGGATTGTCTCTTTTTTTTTTTTTTTTCTGAAACTCACATTTTACCCTGAGCAATTTCTACCCTATGGCCACAGCAGCAAAAATCAAGGGGGGTTCCATAGTTATAATTTACTACTAATAAAATTTATTACTATAATTTACTAATTGTCCTATGCAGAATTCAAAGAATGCTGCATTTCTGTTGGACAAGGGGACTGCACTGAATGAGGCTTTAACACCAGCTTTTCACACTTTTAACTCCTGAATTTCTGCAGTGAGAATTTTGCAAACACTCAGGAAACACAGGAAAAAAAAATTTAAAAAATCAACATTTAAGTGGGTATTTAATTTGTTTGCAGATTTAATATGAACATCAGGGATTGAATCTCTGATATAAACTGCTAGAAAATGTAAAACTTGAAGCTTTCTCAGGGCCCTGGTTCTTTTCTTTTGGATTTGTGTTATAGTGGAGTAAGTTTATTAACTGCACATTATTAGTGGTTGATGTACCACCATACAGGCAACACCAAAATTAATTAAATACCAGTTTCATGCCCCAGTTTCCTGCTATAGTGTGTTTCTGCATGATCTGGCTCTGCTCCATATTTTTCCAGTGCCATAATAGTTCTGCCCAGTTGCATGAGCAACAGAGAGGGGGGAAATTCCAGTGCCTACACGTGACTGCTCCACATCCACAACCTCTCCTCCCTTCCTGCTTTCTCAGGAGACAGACAGAGGAAATCTGTGCACTCTGAAGGATGGTAGAGAGAGCTAGATGGGGAAAAAAAGGCTTCACTAAGACAGAAAGATCTTCTCTTTGGGAGAAAGCAAAGGCTGGTTATCCAGCAACTGCTTCCCCACTACTGCAAACATAAATACCTCAAGTGAAGGAACTCCCTTGTTCACTGGCTGTGGGTATTCCCTCAGGAGTCGTTCCTCATCCAAAAACTTCCCATCTCTACCATTGCTTGCAGGCTGGAACAGTCCATAATTCAGGACATCTTTCAAACTCTGATTCAAAGTGCACAAAATTCGCTGCTTTGCAACCCACACTGAAGCTTCTGGGTTAAATCTAATGCATTTCTGCAAAGAGAAATTATTTTTAAGACTAATTAATGAAAAAATATTTAAACAATACCTTAAAGCCTAAAATTTAGAAATGCAATAAATAGTTAGAAACACACACAATAAATCTACAAAACATACATCAACAGAATTATATTTTAGATGTGCATCTATAATAACCAATGCACAAGTACTGTGAAAACACAGGATGTTTCAAGTCTTTCCACAAAATACCAGAGACCATATTCTTCTTCAGAGAGAGAGAACCTTCATGGAAAACCTGTTCAAAAAGGGATGTTACAAGATGTTTAACTATCCACTTGATTCTGGGATGTTCTGATATGACAATCAGTTTGATCCACAAGAATTGTTCCCAAAAAATGGTATTCAGGCAATAATTCTAATTCATTTTTTGCTACACTTATCTTAGGGTAAGTTTGTGGGAGGAACAGAGAGAACTGTGAAGCAATAGAGGATGTGAAAACCTTGAAAATCCTTTCCAGTTCTGTCCCCTCATGATTCAATATGGGATGCAGGGATTGCACATGGGCCAAAGAAAAATGTTAATGGATATATATCTTTTTTCTCAATACATTTCCATGAGGTACTACAGTAGTAATGTCAGTAACCACTCTTGAGGCCTTTTCTGAAGGCCTCTGCTACTCCCCATATTATAGTTGTACATAAAGTACAAGTACAAATAAGACTGATGTTTAATAAAGAGTGAAATATTTCCTTTAACTTTACCTAATCTATCTGTTGGCATCTTTTTAAAGTCCTGAGGCCATCCATAAGAAAATGTTAGTCTGTCATTTACAATTAAACATGTTTATCCTTGGCAGAGTTCTGCACGCAGTTGAAAATGATCTCTGACCACCCACATAGGCACAAATCACATAATAAATTCATTTGAATAAATCAATTCGGAAATTCGAGGAGCAAATTCAAAGGCAGAAATCCCAATATTTTCTATGTTCACAGTGTCTTCTTGGCTGCTGCAATAGTATGTGGCAAAAATTTTCAGCAGTAAAAAACAACCAGGACATGAAGGACTTTCAATTTACAACTGTTTTTAACGGAGCAAACACTACAGTCAACTAGGGTTTTTTATATATTCATCAGAGCAAATGTAAGCACATGAGATATTAGATTTTGTCACAAATAAAGCTGGATAGGAGACAGTTTTCATTCCCCTCAAATATTTTGTATTTCAAAGTGTTTTGTGAAAAGTTGGGGGTTTTAGATGTTGAAGGGAAGGAGAGAGGGAAACAGAAAATTGATTATAAACGGTATTTTCATTCCCAAACATCCCATTAGTCACAATACCAACTTATCCCATTTCAAATCCCTGTGTTCCTTCTGAACCACACTTTTGCCATGACTCTTACATGGATTCAAACTTCAATACAAAGTTCAGGCTCAAACATCAGCAGTTTTCAGCAACTCTCAAAATTATCAGTTACAAGGTATGTTATGAACTTAACTTCTATTATCCACACATTATCCACACGTTCTGAAAGAGTATAAGAAATGTTATTCAAATAGGAAGAGACAAAGATAATTTTGAAATTACAAGTTTGGGGTTTTTTTGCCCAGGAAAGTATTTCTTGCATGAAACAAACTAATTTTGGACTTGTATGACACTCTTTTGATTTTAAAAATACAAAACAGTAACTTCTGCCCACACTTTAAGTCTGCTGGGTTTCAATGCACCTTGAGAATTCAACATGTTCAATTTTGTTCAGTCTATACTTGTGTTCTATCTGTCCTTGATAACACTGCAGATAATGGTGTGTATTTCTAATCTCCAAATATCTGCTAAACTGGCAAAATTATAAATAATTTCTAATTTCTTCAGAATAGATTTCAATGGAAAGTAAGTCTTTGAAACTAGTAATTTTAAAATGTACTAACAGCCCTTGCTCTTTTAGTAATTCACAAGAAACAAAAATGCATTAACTGTAATAAATATTGATCATATTAGTAATTTATAATGAATTGAGATCAATGATGTAAAAATCAAATCAATAACCAAATAGCTTTGCTACCAAAATGCCTCAGATTTAGGTAAGTGGAACTAATGAGAAAAGTGATTATTTATGCTTCCAATGAAGCCAGCAGAATCTACACACAGATTGCTTTAGTTATTAAATAAGTAAGAATTTATTAGATGTACATGGCATGATGACCACAAGGAAATGAAACAGCAGCTGAGTCAGAAAAGCTGGTCAACTTTTTCTAATCTTCAACAACTTAAAAAAAAAATCAAAAAATAGGGATAGTGTAATGATAAAGAACAACAGAAACACATAAGAACTACAATGAAACATAAAGATGCTTTGCATTGACAGATGTGGGGTCTATTTATTCCATTCTTTTTGTTGCATCCCAAGGCCAGAGGGAGTGCGATGCTTTGCCAGCTCCATTTCCTGCAAAAATTGCAACAGTTCTTTCAAATAAGAACCAAAAAAGAAGCCCTGAGTGGATCAAAACTACTGTCAAAACCACACTAGGCCACTCAAAACCCAAGTCTAGCAGCACAACAGCACATCAGCACTGGTTGCTGAAATGCAAGAGCTGGGTTATTGATATGAAGCTCTTTTAATCAGGAGAGATGTGGTCAATTATAATCTCCTATTCCTGCACAGGGGTGAGAGCAAGTCACTGAGCACAACAGAAGGGCTGGAAGGAGGGGAAAAATACAACTTATCCACCCCAGCTAAAGAGGAGATATTAATTCAATGGGAATAACGTTCATGATACAGAATCTCTGAAGAATAACATTTCTCCATTTAAAAAATCTATCAACCAACACATCTCTCTCATCAGCCTCATGAAGTTGTCAATCACACAGAGCTGTGCTGTGACAGAGGAACATGACAAATGGTTTGTACAGCTGCCTCCAAAATGTGATTGCCAGAATATCAAAATACAAGTTATTCCTCTCAATAGAAAATGTTGATATTAAAGATGTGACAACCAGACAGTGGAAAAGGCAAATGAGAGTTTGGCATCAGGAAAACTAAAAAAAAAAAAGCAAGTCACTCATTTTGATTTGTGCTCAGTGTTCAACTTAATTCTCAGAAACACTGCTTTTCTTCATCAAAATGCCCTCAAGAAACACAGAATTCATGAGAGGAAAGGTCAAAAAAAGCAGTTTGGCCACACTGTCATCAGCTGGCAAGTCAGATCACCTGTCCAGATCAAGGGCATGGGAACAGATGTCAGCAGCATCCACAGTGTTTCCATTATCAAACTCAAGATAAAAAGAAGGAATATCAGCTGTAAACAGAAAGCAGCAATGGACAGTCAGACACGAAATGGGATACAGAGGAATATTTGTGGAAAGTTGCAAGGGAAAACCTGGCATAAATTTGAGGCAGTGGAGTGCTAAAGATACTGGAAACAAGTAAAAATGGAGGCATCCTAAGCAAAAATGGGATTGTCATAGGTTTACTTGTTCTAAAAACCAAGCGGTGAATTTTTCTTTCCCCTGCATCACTGTGAAAGAAAGACATTGAACGAGGTAGGGGGAGGGTGGTTTGGTTAGGGTGATTCACGCACACAAAAGAACTACCCAGCAGACCCACATTCCAAGCTGATGGCCCTCAGAAGACTGGTGGAGCAGTGGGTGATGAGGGTTTTTTTTTTTCTCTCTCCTCGGGAAACATTTCACTTTTGCCGCGACTCAGGGAGGGTGTGTGTGTGGGGGGGGTTGGTTCTGAAGTTAATTTTGGTTCTGGTTGGGTCATCTGGCTGCTTCTGGCCCCGGTTCACCTCCATTCTCCTGCGTCCTGTTCTTCCCCCAGCCTGGACTTGCTTGCATGTCATCGAAGAGGCTTGACCCTTCTGCGAAGGAACCTTTGGGGGAGGAGGCCGCCCCTTCCCTCCTCCGCTCCCATGCTGGTAGCAGCTTGTGCCCGTTGTGCCGGGAGGGGAGTCCCGGCCGGAGCCAGATGCCAACAGCAGGAGTGTGGGAAGAGCCCCTTTTCTCCCCGTCCCGGGTGGGGGAAATCTCCGTCCTCGGCCTCTCCCGCTCCCGGGGCCTCGCGCGGCGGCTGCCAGAGCCCGACAGCGCCCCCTGCTGGCCAACCCCGAGCACTGCAGGCTCTGCTCCCCCCGCCATCCAACGGCGCCCCCTGCTGGCCGTGCTGAGAATGGCGCCCAAAGGCAGAAAGTGCTGAACTGTTTCCTTTGGGGGGGACTGCTGGGTACAGGAGTAGTGCTTAGCTGGTTTTGTGTTCTTTTCTTGATCTGCCAGTACATATATAGCCTTTAATAAGGGGCTGTTGGTTTTTTTTTCTTTCTCCATACTTCCTCAATCGGAGTCTCTTAATTTTGGATTTCCACTTGCTTAGAGGGAGGAGCTTGGTCTTCCTCATAACTCATCCTCTTTAGCAAAACACTTCAATCTCATTTAACTGAGACAAGGACTTAAGCTGCAATTGTGACAATTGCCTTTGTGAGGTAAAACTTGCACAAACTAAATGTGAGTTTTAGTGAAAAAAGAAAAACACTAAAGGAAAAGAATCTTAATCATAAAAAAAAAAAGCAAAACAAAGCAAAAACCAAAACCAAACAAAACCTAGTGAGTACTGGGGGGGAGGAAGGGAGAAAGGATGCAAAAGGATAAAAAGCAATGCAGAAATAGAACACCAAGAAGTATCTACAGGCTATGTTATTGCTTTACCAACCTGCCACTTACCAAAAAACATTTTGGAGTCAATAAATTCTCATTACTGCAGTAGAGCAGTAAAACAGATGGGCAGAAACCACCTGAAAGAAGTCTTCAGAAGACCTAATCCCATCTCAGCATCAGAATTAAATAAAATATGATTCTGAGCATTTTAACTTAAAACATTACCCAAAGGGAGAACGTAAATATAGGGTAAAACAAAAGAGTGGAACAACCATGTTTGTTAATAATAAAATATTGAAATTTTTATATGAAATGATGAAAACATTCCTTAGAACAACTGGTTGAAAGAACTGATCTCCATATCTGTGAAAAAAGCAATTTTAGCCACAGAACATCATCCCTGACAGAATATCATGCATGCAAAGGAGATTTTCTTGACAACAGTTACTGGAGGAGAGCCAGATTCATTCCACTTATAGGCAGAATCACTTTTGATATGTTCCTACATAGGCTGAAAAAAGAAATGGATACAAGATGACTTAGCTGGGATTCTGACCAAAAAGGTCCAGGGAAGGGGAAGTTATGCCAGGCATCAGAGAGGAAAGCACAAACACATCACTTCACCAAATTTTCAATGTCCAAAAGATGACTGACACCAGGCAAAAGCACAATTGCCTTCAGGCACAATAGATTTAGGCACAAGGTAGGAGACTGGGGGCTGTTGACTGCCAGCTTTGCTTACAGGGAGGAAGGATTCCAACCTGCCACCAATCCATGCCCTGGCAGTGTGACACTGAACTGGGTTGCCCTGGGAATGAAGCATCTCCACCTTAAGGGCAAACACAACTGAATACTGCAAAGAGGGAAGGAACTACTCTCAGTACCTGGCATTTCCATCTCCATAGCAGGTGTTTGGGGTCATGTCAAGCCTGAGCCCTCTGAGCTGGATGCAAACAAGCTTCTGGTCAAAATAAATCACACCTGCTGAGCCTCCTAGTTTATTAAATCAGGAAATTAAATGCCAAATAATACAGCTTTTTGCCCCACTCTTCTATCAATGTATTTGTGGATGTAGAGGGTTTTCTATGCTCTCCATTCCCTCAGTAATTTCACTGAGCTCAGGAAATCTTTCAGTGGCTCATTTAAATATTCTCCTAGCACTCCTTCCTGTGCTAGGGGTGACACTTGAATGCAGATGATGCACAGAAGTAATAAGAAATTATTCTTTCTACAAAGCATTGTTTCAATAAATTGAATTATCACCTGAACTGAAAAGGGGACAAAAAAGAACTGAAAACTAAGTGTTCTTAAGGGCTTTGTATGAACTCGTCAAGGTTTACATGATCTTTAAAAGTTTCAATTGAGACTAAAAGGGCAGCAAGACAGATTTGCTACAAGGGGTGATAATGTATAAAGTTTTCTATAGCAGTGCATCCTATTTGTGGTGTTTGATGCTTATCTCACACCTGCAATGAAATAAAGGCAATTTATACCACAGCCACTGCAGATGAGCAAACTTTATTCATAGTGATTTTGGCTAAGGGGATCCTAGTGATAGCTCCCCAGGGGACTGAATTTTATTTAAAAACCTTCAATTTGTTTTCTTTTAAACAAATATAGGATAACACTTACTAAAGAACTAAAAAAGTATAAAACTAAATCATGTCATTTCAGGCTTCTTTGATTAAACAGACTAATTTTAAACACCTTGTATGTTAAATTAATTGTAATGATACAGGAAATGGGGTGTATGTTGGCTCTGGCTTGTAGTTATAAAACAGTTCATAAACTATAATATTCTCCACAGTTTGCTACCCCACATTTAAGCCACCAGTTTCCTAAGCTGAATCCAGGTTTCAATTCTCTGTACAAAGATCTAATAAATTAAATCAGAAATAGATCATCTGCTATAGAACTGTTTGTTTAAAGCAACCCAGGTACTTTTCATTAAGAGCCTATTGAAAAGGAAAAAAAAATAAAAAAAGTAAAGCAATAAAAAGGAACAAATGAAACACAAAATCAAAAATGCTTTTTGGTTTATTTCATTTCCTGCAAAAAATTAATTAAAAAAAGAGTCTCAATAGTGTCAATAACTATCTCTATAATATAACTCTAAATAACTATAAAATAACTCTAAAACACAGAGTAATGAAATAAGAGGGCTTCAGGAAGCTAATCTCTCTGATTTTTAACATCAGAGTAAACCTAGAAAGAAAAGCTAATATTTCCATTCTAGTGGATCAATTCATTGAGCACTGACACGGTCACAGATAGAGCAAGCTGGTAAAATCATCAATAAAATCCTAATCATGTCCAGTTAGAGCTTATCCTGGTTGAGGACTTCACTACTGGCAAAATTCATTTAGATTTAAGATGTACAACAGTGGATTTCAGTATTTCAATCAATACTGAAATGAAAGACCCAAGGTGATGGCTGCTGCAGCCAGAATTTAATCAAAATTCCATGTGTGGCTCACAGCAGGCCCCTCACCCCTTCCTCTTCATAGAGTTTAACCTCATACCACATAAACTCATGGATGGTACTGCAATTCCAACCACAATCCCCATCTAAAAGATATTTTTTAAGTGCAAGAATCAAAGAGATAATTCCCCCAGCTCCAATACTGATTTCTCTTGAGCACTGTAGGTTGGGCTTTAAAAAGAAAGCTCCAACCACACCTGAGGGCACGTTGTCAAAACAGTTCTTCCCCTGTCAGCCTGCAGACAGGCCATCTCTATCACTCCAAAAATGAACTTAATTAAAAAGAAAGGAATAATTTCATCTGAGATAGATCTTCAATGGCAGCACAGTGTGATGTAGATCTTAAATGTCAGCACAGAGTGATGTATGGGGCACACATCCACAAAATGAATGTGTTTTTATAATCATCTTTGAAATTAAAAAAGTCTGATGTCTACCAGGGTAATTCAGACAATTAATCACAAACTTGGACAAGTTATGGTTCCAGACAGAATCAGTAAGTAACTCCCAAGACCTTTTTGAGGATGATACTGTTATTCCTATCATGGCACTTGTGGAGGACAGTGATTGTAAAGTTACAACAACAAACTTTTCCACCTTTATTCTCCTAACATTCCAGGCCTCGAATTTTACACATTCAACCACAAAAGAAACATGACTTAATAGCTCCTTGAGAGGAATTTGGGCTGTAGATTTCTAATACTTAAGGAACATTCAAGATACTTTTTTTAATTAAAAAAACATTTTTTATTCTCTTTTACTCGATTAATCAGACATTATTAAACAAATGAAAAGTCTTTTCACTTCTTTTTGTACTATGTGAGAGATTAAATATTTAGTTAAAAAGTCCCCAATTTCATCCCTACACCCATAATTCCACAGGTTAACTCACAAATGACTCCTCTGCGAAAATCTGGAAAGGGTCATTTTATTCTCTCTGATGTTTCCAGTATAAGCAGTGAGGAGGTGGGAGAGAATAAAATAACAACTTCATGGCATTGTGAAAACTGTGGAACAGTTTGATGCCACCCTTTGTTCTTCCTCCACGCTGAGGATGTTGATTTCTCTGGGTGGAAGTCTGAGAAACAAAACCGTGTAATAAAGGCACAGCAGCAAAGGAGGAAAGAAAGATTTATTTGTGCTTCTCCTCATCTTTAAGCTCTAAAAGCCACCAGCTATCCAACAAGGATGTCCTTTTATGGGAGGGTGGCAGAGAAAGACAAAAAATACGGTAAAGAGAGAGAGAATTTTATGACCTCTTGCTACACCCCAGTCGAGTGTCAATCACAATCTCATAAGAAGAGAGAATCCAGTGGGGTTATACATGTATGAGGCTTTCACAGAGATAACATGTGATTTCTGAATTCAATCTTCCTCTTCTGATGAGATTCCTAATTCTCTTCTTCTACCCAAATGCAGGACAGACATATTTTTTTGCTTTATGATCACAGCTTTCATCAAGTTAACATACTAAATCCACTCCCTTGGAGGGGATGGGTCAGGCAATCAGTCAGATAAACCACTGGGGTACAAAGTGTAGAGATTAAAAGAAAACACAGCATAAATTTTACCTGTCGTAAAAAATCACAAGAAAAGAGAACAGATCTACTGCAGATTGAAGTAGCAAAGCTAATAATTAAATTTTATTTTTTTATTTTTTTTAATCTGCCTTACCGTTTGCTGCAGGTCAGGTATTATAATTCGAATCACTAATGTGTTGCTCTGACTGTCTTCCATTCTGCTGCTTGGCTTTTCTGCAGTTGCTCTAATTGTGTCATAAATAGTTTCTTCTTTGGAACTGTCTGATTCAGATTCCACAGAATAGTCAGAAAAGCTTTGTGCCATTTCATCTTCACTTGATGTTGGGCTACGAGGCATGTTCAAGTTTTTTACCCTGCCAATACAAAGGAGAAAAAGGAAAAAAAATAAGTTATAGTTAAAGTCTTAAAGATTAACCAACCACAAAGTTTTGCTTTCTTGGAAATAACATGCATTTAACAAGGGAGTTTTACGGTTTATCCTCCTGTTATTTCTGTCTGTCAATTATGTGGGGAGGCAGAATGTAAAGGAAATAAATCTGGCTACCAATTTACTGCAGAAGAGGAAGGACAGGAGAAGCAAAAAAGAGTCATAAAAAGTAAGATGACCTTTCTTCCCAGGCACACCCAATCTCCCAAAGGATCCAGAAAGCCAGTCCTAACTAGCACTGTTGTAAACTGTACTTAGAACAAGGTCTGGCTTTGAAATCTCCTTCTCCCAGTGAAAAGACATTTCAGGAAATTAATATAAGTGCTAAACTAACATCATCCTGTACACATTGAGAAACTGCACAGGTGAGGCTTCAGCAAAAGTCAGTTTTTTCTAACAGTGGAATTAACCAAAATATGAAATACTACAGGGAGCAAGGCAGACGCAGATGTTGCTCTGTGTTTTGTGGCTCACGTAACATCCTTTTCTATCAACACTACCCAAATCTGGCTATTAAACACACTCAAATACAGAGTTTAGAAACATTTTTAATCTGTGATATAGATTAGGCTGAAATGAAAGTAATTTTAGTCCAAACTAAAGACATTTGCATTCAAAGTTCTCACAGTAAGAATGGTAGAATATTTTCCTTCTGGGTTTTTCCAGCTACACCACCAATAGAATTTTTCTTGTCCCACAAACTCAAAGCTTCTCCAGGAAATTAAAGTTATTATTCTACAGAAAAATGAGGATAAAAATTATACTGAGGGTGAAAAAAAAAATCTAAAAGACTATCATGAACTTTGCAGTGCTTGGTACCAATATATTTTTTTCAGTTTTTTAAGAGGTCAGAAAAACATATCATTGTTTTTCATTCTTTTCCTTAAGAAACCTTCCAAGACAATTTCTCTGCTTTTTAATAAAAAAAACCCCAGTGAAAAGAAAAAATAAATAAATTTAAAAAAAACCCCACAAACAAAAAAAACCCCAAACAACCAATTCCACTGTCAACTCACATTTAAAAAGAGACATTAAAGCAAAAGTAAAGCACAGAAGGGCAAACTGACTTGACCAAGGTGAGACTCATCTAGCAGGTGAGTGCACTGAGATATCCAAGTATATGTTTTCCATAATGATCTCACAGCCAGATCCCCCAAAGCAAATAAAGCCAAACAACAGCAAGGACTAAGAGAACGTTTTTTACCACTGTGTTTAACAGTTCAGTTTGAGCCAAGCAAATATCAGGACCAGATTAGTCAGTCCCCGTCAGAGCCTGGTCATTTCCAAGGCAGTGATTCCAGAGATCAAAGGTGCCACTCTCAGGATTTGAAGGTGCCCATGTGCTGGACAGGTCCGAATCCTGAGGTCAAGGGCAAGTGCTTCCAAAGCACATCACATCCCTACATCATCAAGCCTTATTGTTATTTCTGATGAAGAATAATTCCAGTGTGATTACCCTCAGCTATAATTACTAATGAAGACAAAACTGTGCATTCAGAAATCTGAAAGCATGCCAGTTCACAGCAGCTTAATGCAAGGCCCTATTTACAAAAGAAAACTCTTGAGGGAGTATTTCATTTTTTTTTGCTGCTTCACTGAACTGTAGATTAATGTTGCTTTCCAAAGCACCTTAAGCCAATAAAAAGCCTAAACATTTTGATGGCTTCTTTATTTATCTACCAATGTTAAAAAATGTGAACCCAAAATATCGCAGGGCAATAAACACTGTTTAAGGGCATCAGAAGCCAGTGAGTGTGAGCAAAAAGACATAAAGACAATCACATGTTTTGTTTCTCCCTAAAGCCATTTGTGAGTGCAACATATTCCAGGGCAATGGATTCAACAGAGAGCTGTAAACTGCAATTATACAGCATACAAATAAAGAGTTGAGTTAAGGAAAAAACTTCCAAAGGTTTTGGCAAGTGGATTTTCACTCAAATACTACTCAGAAATATCTCATTATAGAATAAGAAAGGGAAATCACTGCCTGAAGGACTAGCTCCCAGGAATCAAGCCCTCAAGTTTAATAAATAGTGGGACAAAGAACTCCTTGGAGACTCATCAACAGGACACAAGCCACCTAGTTTTCTGGAATATACATTAAAGTAAACTAATACACAAGTAACCACAGAAAGGATAATGAAAGCCTGTATCCACAGTGGCAAAAAGAACAGAACCTGAGCCCCACCAGCACTATGGAGAAGCAGATGATTTAAAAACAGTTTTTAAAGAAGACAATTCCAATACTGGACAAACTACACCAGTACAGGTCCCACATAGGGCAGAGCCTGCTCAGGAACAGAGGTCAAGCACTTGAGAGTTGAACTTGATGATTCTTGTGGGTCCCTTCTGACTCAGAACATTCTGTGATTCTATGATGTCTCCCTAAACCTATGTTTGGCTCTTAAACTGTATGAAAATGGAAAATATCACCATTTCATAACCACAAAAGCTCATTATCACAGCTCCCACAGGGAAGTTGTTATCACTCAGAAACTGTTTCAATTTTTTCCCTGTGATATTCCAAATAATTTTCCACAACCAAACCTTTACTTCAGAAAAAGGCAGGTTGCCTGGCTTACTTAGGCTCGTACAGCAAATGAAAATATAGGATCCCAGGTTCCTAATCCCTTGGCAATTCATTGGTTCAAAAGGATGCTATATAGCTAAAATACAGATTAAGTATTACTTGGATGCCTTCTTTCCTTTTCTTTAAAAAAGCAACAGATCACACACCTCCCATAGTTAACCTGATTGTATTTTGTAGCATCAGTGGCTGCTTTTAGTATAGAAAAGCGCTGAGTGCAGAAACGTTTCTCTGTAAATGAATAAAAGCAAATTTCAAATTAACTTGGAAATAAACTCATGATGGAAACTGTCACCCCAACTGTGTTTGCTCCACCTCTCACGCTCAGTCCACATTTTTCAGGTCCTGTGCATTGAGTGTGTCCCAGCCCTGGACGCTTTCCTGCCCTGGCCCCTGCATGTCCCTTGAACAAAGCAAGCATGAGCTCCAGTTGCTTAAACACCACTTCTGACACAGGAGGGTCTTGAAAAACAGCTGGAAGATGAAAGATTGAAAGGATGGCCATATGCTCACCCTTATTATTGTACTTTTCCCTCGGCACTTTGCCCTTTACCTGTGCAGGAGCACTGGGATGTTTACTCTGCTATTGCCAGGTTATGTTTCTTAGATCCACAGGCCAGATGAAATAAGCTGAGCTCAGATTGCTGCCTTCCCCTTGCAGATGCTATTTTTAGATTTATTTTTCCTCTGTCTTTCACAAAATTCTCCAGGAACTTCTTATCCTGCTATTTGTTACCACCATACCATTAAGGAGAGTTTAAACCAGTCTAAACCATGGGGAAGTGGTATGACCATCAAATTGCCTTTTTCTTTAAAAAAGAAAAAAAATTCTAAAAGAACGTTATAAAAGGCTGGAATTAACAAGAATTTCAACTCCCAGAGCTCACTTTGTCTGGAAGGTGTTCTCTGGTGAGCGCAAACTGACACAGTAGGGGAAAAAAGCAAGAGCAGTGACAGACTCGTGTTTTTTGTAGCCTTGTGGTTGTTAAACATCACATGAAATTAATTTAATTAACATGTGTGTCTAAATTTATTATAAACTTGATAGCAAAGGGCTGAAACTTGATATGAAAGGGTTTAAATTATCATCGATGGGGACACACATTGCACAGGGGATCTTCATTAAACCCACGTGCTATTATAAGATACACAAAACACTCGCCCACTACAAAGAATCATGTTTTAAAGTCTTCAACTTAATTATGGCTATGTGCAATTTTGTTGATCCTGCAAAGTAACAAACCCTCCTGTCTAGTTTCACATTGGTAAATATGGAACATAGTGATCTCTACAGACACAAAAAGCTGCTCTAAAAGATCTGTTCCATGTTAAGTCCATATATTGTATGTAGCCCTAAAACTAAGATTAAATTTTGGTAGGGAAACTACAATAAAGGACATAGAGGGATAAAGTTCTTTCCTTGACCTGTGAGATTTTGGTTTTTTTCATGTGAACACAGGTTAGAGTCTCACAGGATTGGAAATTTGGACTAATCAGAGTAGTTAAGAGTTCTCTTCTCTTTAAAATACAGCTGGGACACAGATCAAATACCTTGTCCAAGGCCAACAAGGCCAGGTCTCAGAGCAAAGTTTCAAATTCAAGGGTCACTGGTTCCTAGTCATGATAAGAACAATCTATTTTTATATAAACAGCCATTTGCACAATACCAGCCCTGTCGCCTGCAGGGAGAAGCCCTCCAAGCTGCTATTGTCAGGCGAGTTCAAAACCTACCTGTGGGAATATCTGGAATACAGAGTCGGCATTGTTTAGGTTGAGTAAGGCCATTAACCAGACTGTGAGAAAAGTTTGCTGTTAAAGTAACAGTCACTGCTAGAAAGAGGTACTTAATTATTAACTCTGAAGAAAAACTATTCAGGAAAGAGATTTCTGTCTGTGTAGAACCTGCCAGGAGCTCCTAAAACTGTGGCTTTACTAAGGATTATATATATCAGCTCAAGAACCAGCTCAACAAGTTATTAAATTAAAATTCTGGAGAAGATCAAGCATTGCCTTTTCTAATTATAGCAATACTGAAACAAAAAAGCATTTCAGATTGAAGACGGGGGGTACAATCCCAGCACACCATGCATTTCACACCTCTCCACAGTTCTGCAGAAGTCATGCAGCAGAAAATTTGAATTGAAGACCAACTCCAAAGGGCAGTTTGCAATTTGATGAGTTCAAATTTGATGAGTGCACTCCTACTTTAAAGCTGGCATTAACCAGCACTGCCTCCTGAAGAAGCAAACCCACCGTCCCTCACACCCAGACCCCTTCACTCTTGTTCCCAGACTGCTCTAATCTCCGCATTAACACAAACACCGACACAGAACAAAACA